CGTCTCACATCTGCAAGGAAATACTGCCGAGTATGACTCTCTCTCTATCCTTAAGAGACCAATAAAACAATTCATATGTACTTCAATAGAATTCAATAGCATAATGAAGCATAAATCATCCTAAACTCAAGCGATAAAAAATTCGATCATTTAAAAAAAAGTTATGATTTAGGGGAAGAACGTTAAGTAGTCAACTGCTTTTCGATTACCTTATGACCACCTTTCGAGATCACATCATTCGTAATCGCAAGATCCACTTCACCGTCGTCGGTTTTCTTCTCGGAACAGTCCAATAGGAGCTGAAGGAAATCGTGCTGGATCTGCAATTACAAAAGCAACATCTGAGTGAGAATTCACAAAATAACAACCGTTTCAAATCTGTCTTCATGCTGATGGAACATTTATAGCACAAAATGAGCAGTTTACGAATGATGTTTTCATATCAAAGGATAATAATTATAAGACGAATGAACAAATATGTGACCGTATTGTTTGTTAAGAAATAAGTATTGGTGGTTTTGAGAATATTTAATTGGGCAGAACTTATTCAGTTGAAAAATTCATATGAGAACATACAACATTTGGATTGGATCGTCGTTCCTTAATGACTTTTTGTATTGCGTCTACAATGTATCTGGTTTCGAGATCGTTGCTGATTTTATGCTCCGTTAGAATTTCAATACGTCGAGCAACATTCGGGAACAGGGCTGCAAGCAAGCTTTTATGCCTTCAAAAGTTTACATTATTTCATTATTTTGGTATTGTTTTGCGCGACGTTCTAATGACATGAGATTTTAATCGGAACGATAAAATGACTAAATCGTTTCAAGTAAATTGCGTGAAGGCATATAAAGTTACTTGTAGCCATATTCTGGAACGTTGCCCGAGATAATATTGCTGATCGTGAGATTATAATTATCAGCTGAATGAAAAACTATGATTCTATAATTATTTCCAAAAAAAAAGGAGCAATACTCATTCAGTGGTTTTGAGGATATTTCATTCGGCAGAACTTATTCAGTTAGAAAATCTGGGCGAAAACATACAACATTTGGATTGGATCGTCGTTCCTTAATGACTTTTTGTATT